AACAATAAAATCATGTACTGTAAAGTGTTTTAACAATATCAAACTGTTCACCTGGAGAATAATTAACCAATTGGACATTTTTACAGTAATGGATATTTGAAAATAGCATTAACATCAACAAATAGCATCAACAGCAACATCAGAGATGTGCAGAATGACAGCAGCAGGTTATTTAACTGACTGCTTTTATTTGTTCCTGCTCCTGGTGGTTGGCACCTTTATTCCACTCTGGATCCTCATCCGTGTAGTCTTTGTTAACTTTACAATACAAAAAAGAACAAAAATTAAAAGAAACAGTTTTGAAAAGTTCAGTTTTCATTCTTTTCCTGCTTTATGTGTCATCTGTCACGGTTGCTAAGCGACAGAGCGTAGAGCGGTGAAAGCCACAGAAGGGTAGACATGTTTGAGTTCACAGCCAAAACTCTTCCGGTCTCCTTATTTTCAAGGACTTTGAAGGATCTATTCTAGGTAGACCGCGTCCTTGGAGGATGCAGCCCATGAATTAGAACGCAGCCACCATCGCTAGTTTGAGTTGCCGTTTAAATCTAAATCAATTTCTTATAATGACATTCACTAACAGAGGAGACTGTTACTTATTTGGCCCTTGGACCAATTTCCTATTTTACCTTAAAATATAACTTCAACAATTATTTAGAAATTACAGTCAGCTTTAATCTTCAGCTGTGGTAAGATAACAGTTTTTTTCTTTTAGATCAAAGGTGTGTGACTTTGGCTTTGAGGCTCACTTATAATCCAAAATAATGCACTCCGCTGTGTTTTTTCTATTTTTTTAATTAGTGTATTATCCTTATCTGCTGCTGTAGTCAGACCAGCATACCCATGGTCAATACACATGCCAATGATCTCTATTTATTCACTAGATTGCTGATTTACCAAAAAAAGTGAAGCCACCGTCCGCCATCTTGGTACTCCCCACTCCCACAGAGATTTCCAGTCAAATGCCTCCCTGTGCAGCATTTGGCTGCTAAAACCAGCAGTTTTCTGTCTGCAGGAAGATGTTCCACTGGTAATTTCCCAGT